TCTGGCTTCAGTGAGATTCTCCAGTCACCTATTTACTTCCAGGCATCTCTGAGACCAGACGTGGTGTGTTAGGGTAGTGTCAAGATCTTTTTGCAGTGAAAGGCCAGATAGATGGGAGTGGCAGCCTGTCGAAGCCTTTTTCACACAGAAACTCACCCCGACTTAGTTCAGATGCCACTGAGGACCTGTGATTTGCTTTATCAGACTCAGCCTCACACTGCAAAGAACTCAGAGCTGCTACACTGGGGCTTTGAACTGGATCATTCCTCAATGGTTTGACCTCTGCCAAGAACTTGTCTTTCCACCCTAGATGTACTGAATCAGTATCTACATTTTAAAAAAGTAATTCTTAGTGTATACGTAAGAGTCACCTGGGGATCTTGTTAAAATGTAGATTCTGCTTCAGTATTATGTCTGGGGTGGAAATGGAAATTTTCAGCTGAGGATTGAGCCAGAAAGAACCAATTTCAAGCCCTGTTCTAAACCCGAGGATGTGAGGAGGTGGGCAGAAGTTTGGGGCAAAAAGCAGTCTAAATTAAAGCCATTTAAAAACACTTTCTAAGACTTCAGTGCACTAGACCTAACCATCATCAAAGAGCCCTAAAGATTTCAAGCCTTGCTCTGCCACCTACTCTATGATTTTGAGCAAATTACTTAATCTTTCTGGGCTTCTCTTGTCCTTGTAAAATGAGACGGTTGCCCACCTGGTGATGGATTTCATGTCAGTTTGGGGTGTGTGTGCACATATGGCACTGGGCACATGTCAGGCAGCCAAAGAAAAAGTCCTCATTTCAGAGGTGGGAGGGAAGAGCTGGGGTGGCCAAGAAAAGGAGTGTGATGATGGATGCACAGCTCTGTGAAATACTAACACCCAACACTATACTTTCAAAGGGTGAATTATGGAATGTGAACTGCCTTTCAATTATGCTGTTATTTTATTAAAAAAAAAAAAAAGGTGAAGAGAACATGGCTAAGAACATTTGGAGGAACAGTGGGAAATGAGGGCTTTCCATGTTCTCTGATGGGGCAGAGCATCGAGTTCTGATCATAGGATAAAAAACCATTATTTAGGAAGGATGAGAATCTTTTTCTTGCTACATTCTGTAATTTTAGATTCCCATCATTCCTCTTGAAATTTCAAGATAAGAGATTCTCCTTCACTTTTCAGGCTAAAATATTAGTGGAACGTTCATATGGTGTTTTTAAAATGATAGATGACAGCTTTTCAGCACCTATAATATTCCATCCTGGGTTTTGGGATATCAAGAGAAATATTCATCAGCAAAGATTTCAATATCACTATTCCCAAATTGCTTCAATGGTTACTGGTTCAATATTCTAAAATAAACAACCATAGGTACAACCATTTAGATTTCTAATTTATTATTAAATTACATAACAAAGCTTCTTCTATACAGTCAGAAAAATGCACATTAGATGAGAACAAAATTAAGTACAAATACAATAAAATTGGTTCCAGAAACTATTTTAAAAGCAAGAAATTAGAAAGTGCATTTGGAAAATAATAGATTTAAAAAATCTGTATTGGCATTCTTCACGAGGAAACATCTTCCATCATAGTAAAATGTGATTGGGATTGAGTTCTCTCCCCTCTGAAAGCTGACAGGATGGAATGGGTGCAAATACTTTGATAACTAAAGTGAGATCTTAAGTACAAAGAAAATGAGAAGGATGGCTCAGCTTTGTCTCAACTCATTATCCTTAAAGTCTGTTTGTTCCTTCACCATTTCCTTTCCCTTACAGAATTTAAGATTATGCAGATTTATAAAGGAATAACAAGATTAACTTATTAAGACCATGATGAAAAGGTCTGCATTTCTGTGAAGACCAGCCTAAATAACTCCTAACCCCAAAGGACAGTGGAACACAAACCACTACAACTTTCTGAGTAGTAGAACCCATTTGTTTGCTAGTTACATTTGCCACAAAATTCAGTGTAACATCAGACATGGCCATTTATCCCCACAACTTACTATTTCAAGTTAGAAAACTCAATGCAATTCCCCAAAATCCCATCTGGTTAATGATCGAACATGAGGCATTAGAAACCAAAATGGCTGATCCAATTGTTTAAAGTCATTTTTGTCAGGTTGAGGTCATTAACAGAGAAGCAAAGTTAATGACAGAATGCAAGTCCAGGGTGCCTCAACTCCCTAGAGGCCAAAAGCTATTGACTGATTTTCTCACCAAGTATAATTTTTTTATTCAGATGTATTCAGCTTCCAATATGAACAAACTAAGTATTATCTGGCTTTAGCTACAAAAGGGGCCTCACTGGGTCTCCTCTCATCATGTGCCTCCATTCTTAGGTTTTCACTCACATGGCTGATCTGAATTCCAGGCAGTATGAAAAGAGGCATTCTCTATAAAAGTGAAGAAAGAGGAGGAGCGGAGCAAGGAAAGCACTTTTCTAACATTACAAAAACAAAGAGGGAGCAATGCCGGTTACTGGGAGTCCTTCAGCATCATTAATAATTTTAAAAAACAAAGTAGAGATTGCCAGGATGGATGAACTAAAGCTCCTGAGTATCTGTACTTGAATTTGAGCAATAGATTTATTAAACAGTTCACTAAGGTCATCAGTGGACGTTAAAGCAAAATCACAAAAATGTATCTTCTGGAATTTTCCATTCTTTCTATTGCCATGGTTTTTCATATTTTTTAGTAAAATGGAAGTTCTAAGCGACTATTAAAAAGATCCAAAAGGAAAAGATTCATTATATAAGACAACGGCAGTCTTTAAGAAGTAAGGTTGTTTTAAGAAGCAACATTTATCTGGGCCCAGGAATAGAAAATTCCTTTTGACCTCTAGTTCTGACTATATCAACAAATAATTTACTGTTGGCCCCTGAGCCAAGCAACCTGTCTGGAAGGAGGGCAGTAAGGTAAGGGGGGAAAAAAAAGATGGTTTTTTAAACAAAGAAAAAGGTTGAATGACATGAAATTGAGTGTTCAAATCAGCTACTATGGGGTCCAACCTGAGCCGCTTCCTGTAAATGGCGTGCCTCCATTTCCTCATCCTAGGGTTTCTTTGTACAAACAAAGGAACCATAAGAGGAAAGGAAGAGTACTATCCTCACTACCTACTTTTGGCCCTGGATCACCTCATTATGGGCTACAGCACTGGGAGGTTAGTCAGACCTATCTGACACCAACATCTACACCATGCTTCTTCAACTTCCTTGGAAGAACTGGTTTCTTTATTTTCATGAAGAAAATAACCCACATAATTCTATGACTTCACATAAGGATAACCCTAATGGGAAGGCTCATCAGCCATCAAAATTGTCTGCTGAGTTTTAGCAAGCTAGATTAGCTTGTGTCCTAGTTTTATTCTCACATAATCACCTTTAATGAATGTACCAAATAATCAGACCAGTAAAAAAGACTGGTAGTATAATTAAATAAATAACTTTATTATTTATGATACTTCAGATTTTATAAATGCCTACTATATAGCAACCAAAATCCCTACAAATTCTCACTGAGGCATAACCACCAATCATCAAGGCCCTTTGAAAAATCAAAGATAATAAAGTGTCAGGGGAGAGAAGATTTGTTCTCTCAACAAAGGTTTTAATAAATGAACATATTTCCCTGACCCTTTAAGGTTCACAATGGGAAAACTTAAGCTTCCTTTTAAGGGCATCCCCAATCAATTAACTGATCAACCCATACTTAGAAAAATAAACCCCATAATTTAAAAAAATATATCAAATGCCCTTCATGCCCAGAATGTAACAAAAACTCTGACAGCAGAATCAAAACCCTCTGCAGTCTCAGTATTATGTCTACCCATCGGCCTGTACATCAAGTGCATCTATATACCATGATGTCGTTAGGAATTACATGCAAATATCCTCTTATTCCCTATGGCAGTTTGAAGGCTATAAATACCATAATAAAGTCCATCTGTGAAGAGCAATGTTCCTTCTTGGTGAGGCAGGTAGATGTTGAAAGACTTCAAACATTTGTGGTAGTTCAGTTAGACAACACAAGTAATCAATTTCCAAAAACTGAGAAAATTGTTAAATTTGAAAAGAATCCTGATGGTGGGTTTAAAATTCTGTTACTGCCCAGAGATGGAAGTAAGGTGCAGATGGAAACAGATTCTGTCACATGTGTCTTCAATAGCACAACCATTCTTTGCTCTTTGGAAGTTAAACACATCTGGAATGAATAGGTTTCATAAAACACAAGAATTCCTGGTACACGAGGCAGCAGTTCTTAAACTTTTGCTTATAAATCGTGGAGCATTTACAAATGAAGTTATCTGGAAGGCGACCTCTTAATGTATTTTTACATGTGGCTTGTGGTACAGATCTACTGAAAACTGAGCAGTCCTCTCGCTCAGTACTGGTATTAATCCTGACAATGAGGAATAGTTTGGGGTCATTGCCAGGCACTGGCTATTAGTTTCTTTGTTATGGTAGAATTGAAATCTCATTTTCTGGTAGCAGCAAATATTAATTCAATGGAAGAAATAAACAGAAAAGTCAAAACAATGAAGGACAAAGTCTATTATTCTTGATGTTTTCTGAGTGATATATAGTTAATCCCAGTGTGCTTAAAAAAAAAAAAAGTTTTTGCAGTGTCTGTCCTCCATTAACTGACAACCTCCGCCATGCTGACGGTGGCTTGTCAGTGTCTCAAAGAAACATTTGTGAAAAATGGAATTTTCCTCGAATACCGAAAGAACTGGGGACACAGAGTAGAAATCTAAAGAGATTATCAAGAACTGACTTGTAATTTCTTGTCATGAGTGTAAAATAAAATAAGAGCTATTTTTATTCATAAGCCAATCTGGAGGCTGAAAGAAAAGCAGCCTTTGAATATAGAGAACCCTGCTTTTCTGAAGAGTCTAGCTGTATGTGACCAAGCTTCAATGTTATCACAGAGTCACAGAAACTTTCTGATTGGTTTACTTACCTCTTGGGGAGACAAAAGAAAATAAAATAATTTTTAAAACTGAGAATGGGGAAATGTGTGTTAGGAAAGATAGCATAGGGAACTGTAGCTTCAGCTCAACCTGACCACCTCACAGAGTCCATCACTCGCAGTCTTGAATTAATCCAGCTGGTCAGGCCAATTAACTGGACAGTCAACTGCTCCTTCCCACTTTTCTTTATTCCAGATCAGGGCATGAAAGAGTCCTGGAAATGTCCCATCAATGGAAAGCATACAGCAGCAATAGGATGGTACAGATACCAATAACACCACCCAGGATGAGTGAGTCTCGCCGCTTCCTAAGGTTGATCCGCTGGATCAGGCTGTTCACAGCAGGAAAACGATCTTTGGGAAATCATTGTTAAGGTCATACTTGGAAGAAGCCTCTTTACAGACAAGTCACAGAAATCACAAAAATAGAAACGAGTGGAGTCCAGAAACAATAAGTGATGAGGAAAAAGAGAAGGGAAGAAAATCACACTGCATGAGTCTTTAGCAAGACAAAATGGGCTTGCCCTACTGCTGCTCAACATCTCAAACAAATTCAAGTCTCCTTGCCTTGTGTGTGGTATATAAACAAGAATAAATGACAAGAAAAAAAATTAGTAGGGAGAAGAAAATAATAAAGATGAGATCTAACCATGTCTTGATTGATTGCTTACTGCAAGGCTTCAGTGGGTGCCAGTGGCCAGGAACAGAGCCACCCTGCAGGACCGGGAGGCATAGGCCCAGCCAGCCATTACCACCCCACCCCCACCCCCACCCCACCCCATTTCTGTCGTCTTTCCTTTGCCTTCCTCTTCTTTTCTCTCTTTTTACTCTTCTTCTCAGAAGAGTAGGAGTTTACCTGAGGGGTTGTGAAGAAGTACTTGACCCTCTCCCCATAGGGAGATTTGTCTGGATTCAGACAATAGGTGGGAATCAATGCTAGAGTCTATATAATTGGCGACTGGTGAATTATTTAAAATTTGTATTTTGCTTTTTAGTCATTAGGCAGGATATGGTAGGAAAGTGGGTTAAACTAACATAAAACATAAAACCAAAAGCATAATGAATCAATGAATGAATGGATAGGAAATTCTTAGTTTTAAGGGTTTTGTATTAGTCACAGCTGTATTTTACTTAGCATTGTGTGATACCTTCATACTCTCATTTGCATGTATGATGTAGAACACAGCACATGCCTGTGCTTCCTGTATTATTTTGTATTTCTGTTAACAGTTTCTGACAATACACCTGTGGGTGTATCTTCTTTGTTAACAGAGGTATTATGTACGTCAAAGTCAGGAAAACCAATGACAAAAACCACTTGGGATGAGCTGAAATAATCCCACTCTCTATAAATCCTCATTGCCTTTTCCTATAACAAAATCTGGTAGCATAGCGCCTAAGGCACTTGACTGCTAACCAGAAGGCTGGCGGTTCAAACCCACCAGCCACTCCTCGGAAGGAAGGTTGGGCAATCCTACTTCCATAGTGATACTGCCTCGGAAACCCAAGGAGGGGTCGCTATGAGTTGGGGCCGACTCGACGGCACATAACAACAACAACAACAACAATATAAAGTCACTTTTAGTTTGATATCCTGAAGTTGTTGGTATTTGCCAGTTTTCTGTGAATTTAGTTTTTGCTTTGTCATCCTAAATACAAAACCACGTATCAAAATCATCATAAAGCAGTTTGCATATGTTATCTTCATTTTACAGCTGCCACAAGGAAGGGAATGTAGAAATTATTATTGTTTTCAAAATGAAGAATTGGGCTCAGAGAAGTGGCTTGGGTTAGGTCCACAGCTAGTAAACAGCACATCTAAAGATTCAAATTTAAGTCTGCATTACTTGTCATGAAGTCATGCTGTCTTTCTTAAATATGATGAACTTGGTTGCCAAAAAGAGAACAACTTGTTCTTGTTGTGTGCCATCAAGTCAGTTTCAATTCTTAGTGACCCTACAGGACAGAGCAGACCTGCCCCAAAGGGTTTCCAAGGCTATAAATCTTTATGGAAGCAGACTGCCTCATTTTTCTCCCATGGAGCAGCTGGTGGATTCAAACTACCAACTTTTTGGTTAGCAGCCCAATGACTTAACCACAATGGCACCAGCAGCTGGGGAAGGAAGCTTCTTTTCCATAAAATGCTTGAGTTCTTCTCAGAGAATAAATAAAACTGCAGGGTAGCAGATTATCAGCTTCCCCACTGGACTTCCCAGAGGTATTTTACTCTAATTTAAATTGGGAAATTCAGGAATTAAAAAGGTAACAGTCATGGTAAAAAGCAGTTTACCCTAGAATTCAGCTTGTGTACAGCAAGTTACATTGAAAATACTCTTTATCAGTAGTTATAACTCATATACTTATTTGGCTATCTCTTTTCTTCCCTTTCTAAGTGCCACTGACTTGGAAAAAATAAAAAAGAGAAAGCCCATAATTTATTTGTTGTTGTTGTTGTTATATGCTGTCCAGTCGGCCCTGACTCATAGTGACCCCTCCCTTAGGTTTCTGAGGCAGTATCACTACGGAAGCAGATTGCCCAACTTTCCTTCCAAGGAGTGTCTAGTGGGTTTGAACCGCCAGCCTTCTGGTTAGCAGTCAAGTGCCTTAGGCACTATGCTACCGGAGCTCCCCATAATTTATTAAGTTTAGGTAAAAATAATGTATAATGTTGAGTTCTAACATGGATGTAAGAGCTTCTAAATGCACAATTTGTGAATAATTTTTAAATTCACACTTATAATTTTTTCTAAATCTCCTATTTTGTAACATATTCTAATAAATCTAATATTCTATTATTAAACCTGTGGTGTGTAAACTTTTAGAAATGGTACTAAACAACATGAACTTTCACCAACTAGGAGTGTAGGGTATATTCATATTATATAATTATTGATGGCCTCCACACATAATTGTAAACTGCTGAAAAAAGCACACACATAGATTTCTCCCTTCCTCCCCACCAAAAAAACCCCTAGATCTCAAACTTTCAAAAAGGATACTGGCCAAAGTGTTCATTTTGCTCTGAATTGACTTCAACATTCCTCTCTGTGAAGTCATGTTTTCTTTTGTTGCCATAGCAATGCTGCAAGGGCGAAAAGAGAAGATTATTCAAATGGCATTTAAGATTATCCTACATGGATCCATCATGCCATTACAAGTAAAAAAAAAAAACAAACAAACAACTAATGAGCAACATAATTTTGAAGTGCACTGGGCAGAAAAATAGCTACCAAAAAAAAAAAATATATATATATATATATCACTTTTAAGCCACCTCCTGTTTTCTGTTGATCCTGAAGGACCACTCCATCCCACTGCTATTTTTGATATATTTTTGTACAAGACAGTAAGCCAGATCCTGTGAGTGTTTTTTAAAACAACAAATGAAATAGCATTTCAATAAACAAAACACATATTACAAAAGCATCTTAAAATGGTTTTAAAAGGGGTGAGCTACTAAAATATTCTTAGGAAAACGTGTTTGAAAGGAAAATAGGAATTACGGTAATAAAAACAGAACCAGCCTTCAATTTATGAAGAGATTATGGTCCAAAATTCTATTAGAGAACCAATCAGGCAGACATTGGGACAGACATGCAAGATTATGCTGGGTTTCCAAGCCAGCTGATGAAGGTCACAGATTCATTAAACATGTCTGAGAGAAGGGGAAAAAGTCATTCTTTGTAGAGTATAATCTCTTACACATGACTATCTTGATGTCCTATTTAAAAGAGAGTTAATCTCTTTTGATCATCACTCCTATATTACTACTTTTCCACAGGCTTATCTTCAGGGACATCAAAATTCTAGCAAATAGGTCAGTGTCCATTTGATATGTAGCACTCAAGAGAGTGCTTTAGATATTGATATTATAAAAAGCAATAGGAAAAAAAATACTGTTCAGCAATTATGAAAACATCTGAAACATTAAAAAAAAAAAAAAAAAAAAAAAGCAATAGACAAAGAGATTCTGGGAAGATGTTTGTCAGAGTACAGATTCCTGACCTCATCTTTGGCCTGTTTCCCTCCAAGGAGCAACAAAAGACCTAAGACAAGCTTGCTGCGGAGGGTCTATCTGAAGCCCCAAGTTCTCTAGCAATCTTCAGGGAAGAAAGCCTGGTGGAGGACTACACTCTTAAAGTGAGAAGAGAGTTTGGGAACAATGGCAGAGAAGACTAGATTTTTCTTCAACTGGTTTCACTGCTCCCTGAGGAGCCAAACAGTAGAAGACTATGGGATCTGCATGTACAAAGACTGCAGTGATGGACTGCTCCCAGTTCCTGCAGCTGAAGGAGACAACTATTCAGAGCCAGTGAGACCTATGAAGAGAGCTAACGTTCTACCAGCTGGTAGAATGCCCAGCCCCCAAGAGGAGAAACTGCGGGCCTATCTACCAGTTGATCTGCCACTGCTCAACAGCTCTAAACCTGATTGCTGAGGGAATACATTTTTGGACAGCAGGGTCTCAGAGAATAAACCACCAATCCAGTAGGTTTACTAGAGGAAAACTAGAGGGAATATTCCAAACAAATGACAAATGAATCAAAACTGAAATTTCAAAATTTGAGAAGGCAGAGAAGAGACAAAAGTGTATAAGGAGATATATCAAAGGACAGGATATTTATTATAGCATTGTTTGGAATAGTTTTTTTTTTTTTTTTTTTTTAAAAAGGACTCTCCCCCCAAAAAACTGGGAACAATACTGGAATTTATAGTATTAACATTTGGTTATTAGAAAGAGTACACATTTCTATTAATCTGGAGAGATGTCTATGATACATTAAGTGACAAAGGAAGCCAAATAATGTGTAGAAAATGCATCCTTTTTAAAGAAACAAACAAAACGTCTTTGCATGTGTTTGTATGAGCAGTGAGAAGGGTTTTAAAAACATACCACCGTCTATTAACATAAATTATTTCAGGGGGTAGGAATCAAGGAGCACCACCAGGAGATTAACTTTTTCTTTACACATTTTAGAATGATTACAATTGTTACAATATGTTACACAATGTTATGATATAAAAGTATCTTAATAAAGAAAGTTGAAAAGAAAAACAAAGCAATTCACTTGTGTTAATAACATTATCAGCATCAACCCATATTCACTTTGGTACCATTACGAACCAAGTAATGATTTATAAAAGTGTTCCCCAAATTCTGGAAAAGCTCAAGAATTGAAAAGACTAGGTAATTCTGAAAGTAGAAGTTGGAGTAGGGCTGAAAACACGGAGATTTGTGGAAATTTTTGTAACAAGTTGCCAGCAATTACACTCCCACAACTTGTGCAACACCATGACTGCCCCAGTCCAACAAAAGACTTAGCTTAGGAGAGAAAAGCTAAAGATAGTGACAATATGAAGTCCCCAATGATGCAGGTTGCCCATTTATCCACCTCCTGTGAGGCCCAGCACTCAACAAGTCCTATCACCACACAGAATGCGTTCTAATCACTGGCTTTTCGGGGCCTCATCCTCAAATACAAGTGAAAAGTCCAACAATCACCAGACATTTGAAAGCCTCTAACAAAAAAGGCAGAGCCTGAAACATACCAGCCAGCAAACAAAGCGGGTCTGAGGAAACAGAGGCAATGCAGGAAGCACGAGAAACTCTAAAATCAAATTATATTTAAAGTCTTTCAGAGAAATAAAGATAGCATATTCAGGAAATGTGTGTATGTGTGCACACATGTTACACACACACACACATACACATTCCTTAGGAAAGAGCTCATATAAATTTGAAATAAAATAAGAGGAGCAGAAATAAAAATATAACAGACAAGTTAGAAGAACAAATTGAGAAAACCCTTTGGAAAGCAAAACAAAAAGATAGATGGAAAACAGGGGAAAAAGAACTAACTCAAGAGGCACAATACATCACCTTTTAAAATGTTTAAAAAGAAACAAGAGAGAAAAAAGGGGGAAGAAAATGATAAATAACAAGAAAATTTCCCAGAACTGAAGATGAGTTTCTAGTTTCAAACTGTAAGAATCACCAAATGCCAAGTACAAAAAAATGAAAAAGATGCCCACTAAGCTCATGATGGCGAAATTTAAACAAACAAATAAAACAAGGAAACAGGAATGATCCTAAAAGCTTCCTTCCAGAGAGAAAAAGCATGTCATACATAAGGGATCAGAAATTTTAATTGGCTGAGTCCAAGGGGCTACTGGACCATGTGAACCTCAGCCCATAGGACCCTGAGACCAGAAGAAGTAGATGGTGTCTGTACCATTGTCAACCACTCAAGAAAGGGATCAAAACAGGAGATCCGGGATCAGAGTGGGAGAACCATGTCAAACAAAACTCAAAATCCTAAAAATGACCAGGCTTAATGGTCTGATAGAGACTGGTGAAACCTCTGTGGCTATGGCTCCTAGTCATCCTGGAACTGAACTCACTCTTGTAGCTTCCAGCCAAACAACAGACAGGCCTACAAGGTGAACAATTACATTAGGTATGTATACTCCTTAGAACAATCAACCATGGCAGGTCAGAAAGGCAGCATTTGCACAAGAAGATAGCTCAGAGGCAGGAATGCATAGGAAATGGAGCAAGTAGAAAGAAGCTGTCCCATTATGGGGAGTGCAATCAATGTCATGAAATCATGTATATGAACTGCTGAATGAAAAACGAATTTGAAAAAAAGAGAAAGAAATTTTAATTAGCACTGGACTTAAGCAATACTGGAAATAATGCTTTCAATAATTTTGTAATTATTTCCAACCCAGAATACTATACCCAGCTAAATGATGAATCAAACGTGAGAATAAAAACTGTTTAGACATGGAAAGTCCAAAAATATTACCTCCTGTTCTTTCTCAGGAAGATACTAAAGGACGTGGTCCACCATAAAAACTTTAAAAACAAACAAACTCATTGCCATCTAGTCAATTCTGATTCATAGCAATCCCTCCTTGGGTTTCCAAGGCAGTATCACTACAGAAGTAGATTGCCCAACCTTCCTTCCAAGGAGTGGCTGGTGGGTTTGAACCACCAGCCTTCTGGTTAGCAGTCAAATGCCTCAGGCACTATGCCACCAGAGCTGTGGTCCACCATAGGAGGGCATAAACTAAGAGAGTAGAAGACAATGAATTCAAGAAACAGGTTATCCAATAAAGGAGATTATTTTAGAATAATGGTGATGGAATGATCCAGGACTGAAATAGGGTAGTGGGCCTGGAGAACAACCAGTCAAGATTAAAGGAGAAGGTGAAGGACTAAAGGAGAGATGAATCCAAGGGGGAAAAAAAAAAAAATCAATACAGACTGTATGATGTATTTGACCACACTGAAGAGAGTTTAGAATCTGTCAGTTTTGGTATATATATATATATATATTAGTGACAGGTACATAAAAATTAAGCAAATGACAAAGGGGAATATTATTAATTCCAACTTTTTTTGCATTGTGTGGGGAGGGGGATTTGAACAAGAAAAAACATCTATTCATAGTACGCTATGGAGCTTATTAGCTGTGAACAATATTTAAGTAGTTGTATTATAAATACAGAAAAAACAAATTCGGAGGGAAGTGTGTATGTCTATAATTGAAAATACATTTCTAAAACTGAAAATTCAAGAAATAGCAATTTATAGGATGTCACTTAAGACCTACGGAGATAGAAGAATTGGAAATGTTATGGTAGTTATCACTACCTGATACATTTTGCAGTTCTGACTTTATCACTCATTCACTCATTTAACAAGCATTTATTGAGAGCCCACTATGTATCAGGTACCATTCTTGACACTGGCAAAAAATCCCCACCCTCACAGAGCTTACATTTTAATGAGCAGAAATAAGCCATAATCAAATTAAAGTAAAAAATATATATAGTGCAACTGATGGTGGTAGGTACTGTGAAGAAAATAGAGCAGGTAATGAGGATAGGGGATACTGGGATGGTAAGGTGGCTGAACTTTTAAATAGATGGTCAGGAAAGGCTTCCCACAGGAAGTGACAAATGATCTAAAGAATGAAAAAATAACTGATTCAGACCAGAGGTAGTAACAATATTACCACTACTTCAGCCAGGCACTCACTGTACCAGAAATTTTATTCACATTATCTTTAATCTGTACAACAATCTTTCAATCTTATGATCAGTCCTATGTTTTTAAACAGATTTAAAAAATGAAGGCTCCAAGAAGTTGAAGAGTAATTTATCCAAGAACACATCTAGTAAGTAGTCCAATCAGGTTTCAAATCTAGAGGTGTTAAGAAGTAGAAAGAGTCTGGGTTTGTTTTGAAAGTAGAGCCAACAGAACTCTGATGGATTAGATGTGAGGTGTAAGAAAGAGAGAGTCAAGGAGGACTCTAAGGTATGTAACTAGTATGTAAGTTCCATAATAGAACTTTATCATGTTCATTGCTATATCCCCAGCTCCTGGTGCATAGTAGATATTCAAGAAATATTAGTTGAAATTAATGCTTGCCTCTGGCAAATGGAACTAAGAGTGGGGGATGAGGACATACACACTTCCTCTGAATTTGTTTTTTGCTGTAAAGATATATTACATTGATAAGACAAAAATTAAGTTGGAAAAAACCCAAAACACCTTTATTAGGTAAACTTGAAATTACATAGCAATGTCAACTTCATAAGACAATGAATTTTATATCAAAAAAATAAAAAGAGCACTCTGTGTCATTAATTTTTATTCATAATTTTTTTAGGTGTATATCTATGATAGAATGTGATTCATTTAAAATGTAGTTGTTTTTAAAATAAAGTCACTTGATAAGGTATTTTTAAATAGGTATGATGGTCTTGTACAAAGTAATAGTTCAGACTCAAGCTGAGAAATCTGAGGCCAATCTCTCTGAATTGTATATGCTTGCCTCTGTTTTTCAAACTGGGACTATCAACATCTCACGTGGACTCTGATTCACAAGTGGGTAAAGAAGATTGAAAAATAATTTCCGTAAAGCACTTTGTATTCCTTGGAGAACGGATATTATCATCATACATTATGTTATTATCTTGTTGTATATGCATGATTTCCAGAACCACATAAAGTATATCTAGACATATTTTCCCATCTCTTTCCATCACTTGGAATCAAACTGGGCTGTTGTCATTTCAAGGGTCAAATACTTAGAGGCAAAACATAAGTTCCAAATAATATGTAATGCTTTTAATATAAATCATTGATATGCTTACTGCAACTTCAACTTTCTTACCTATTCAATGAACTAAACTCAATTTTTTAAAACACCACGATACCAGTTACACATTTAGAGTCTGAGAATAAATTTATAAATATTAGTTATTTCCAATAGATGACCAAGTCTAAATTCAGCTCTGTATATATTTTTTAAATGCAGCTCCAAAAGGATAATATTTTACATATGTAAAAATATTTTTGACACATAAATTTTATATTTACTTATGAAAGTAATCATAACTAGCTTTACATTCAATGACACTTCAGTTGAAACAAAGGGAAATATTGAAATAAAAGACTTTAAAATTGTATTTTGCTTCTTAAGTAGCAATATAATAGCAGTAGTGATTGACTGGTCCTAGAATTTTCCTATCCTATGAGGTATCCATAACTTTTATGCCCATTATTAAATACAAACAAACAAAAACCCAAACCCATTGTTACTGAGTTGATTCTGACTCATAGTGACCCTACAGGACTGAGTAGAACAGCCCCCATAGGTTTCCAAGGCTATAAATCTTTATGGAAACAGACTGACACATCTTTCTTCTGCAGAGCAGCTGGTGGCTTTGAACCATCAACATTTCAATAAGCCGAGCACTTAACTACTACACCACCAGGGTTCCTTATGCCCATGTTTCTTGCCCTTAAATAGGTTTGGTCTGAACTGAAAAGTTTAATTAAGGAAGCCTGGCCTTAGAATAGGAGCTCTGGTGGTGTAGTGTCTAAAGCATTTATTTGACTGCTAACCAGTAGACTGGCAGTTAGAACATCAGGCAGAAAGGAGAAGGAAATAAAAGGAAAAAAGAAAGGAAAAAGTCATATGGAAACTTTAAGAATCCTTGATAGGAAAGGACAAATGGAAACAGTAAACACAGCAAGAAGTGGGAAGAGTGCTGTTACTTTGTGGGGATTGCAATCAATTTCACCAATCAAAATGCATATGAACTGTTGAACAGAAACCAATTTACTATGTAAACTTTCATCTAAATCACAATAAAAAGAAAACAAAACAAAAAAGAAACCCTTGGCAACATGTGATCAGGCCTCACATGCTGATGTAAGGGAAGCAAATCATTCAGTATTTTAGTCAGTAATTAGGCACTTCTGTGAAAACTTTGTTCAGATGGAACACCTAGTACATGTAATGTGAACAAAATTCCAATACCTTATAACTGCATATTATTATATAAGATTATAATTTGTTATGATTATTATTAAATGATAGGAACATAGTATAAGTAAAATAAGAATCCATGAGTCCATATGGATACAAATGAGTATTTAGGAAAAGAACACTGAAATGTTTAGAGGTAAAGGGGCATCATGTCTGTAACTTACTTTCAAGTAGTTTCAAAAAATAATTGTGAAAAAGCAAATGTGTAAAATGTTAACATTTGGAGCATTTGGGTAGAAAGCATATGAGAACTCTTTGTGCTATTCTTTACAACTTTTCTGAAGTCTGAAATTACGTTAAAATAGAGGGAAAAAACAGTATTAATAATAGAGTTACCATTTACAGATTACCAACTATCAGCCAAGGCCTTTGCTCACATTATCTTTAATCTTCACAGCAATCTTACATGGTAAGTATTATCATCAATCACATGATTTTAAACAGGTAAGAAAAAGAAAAGCTCTAAAGGTTAGAGTAATTTATCTAAGAACAGAGATCTAGTAAGTAAGTAGTCCAGTCAGGTTTCAAACCACAAATATATTAATGGTTTAGATAGAGCTCTGGTTCTAGAGTGAGACAGGCTTGGGTTTGAGAATGTGAATCAGTATTACATTATTAGTCATGTCACCTAGGGCAAATAATTTATCTAAATTTCTTTTCTGGAGATATGAATAATGATTGGTGCCTGTCTCTTAGATTATCAAGAAGAACAAATAAAATAATGCCTGTAAAGCACTTTGGCACAGAGGCCTATGGAAAGAATACAGTATTATTCACTAAATCACCTCCAGGGAGGTGGTGTTGTGCCTAAGGCACTTGACTGCTAACCAGATGGCTGGTGGTTCAAACCCACCAGCAATTCCTTGGAAGGAAGATTGGGCAATCTACTTCTGTAGAGATACTGCCTCGGAAACCCAAGGAGGGGTCGCTATGAGTCGGATACGACTTGACAGCACTGAGTTTGGTTTTTTTTAAACTACCTCCACACACTTCTTTCTACCTTTCCTCAAAAGTAATGCATTACACATCGATGAATTCTAAAGCACAGAATTTAACTTACCTTTTTACTGTCACAAAAAAGGTGTTTAAAAATTTATCAAACCTAGAGAATTAAGCAGTTCAAACCAACAGTAAATGTTCCTTACTTTAAGCATGAAAATAAATTACTTCATCATTATTACAGATAATATTAAATGTAACTGTAGTGGATTTCATACAGCTGCTGCAACAGAAACCAAACCTACATAAATGGCATAAAACATTTACCAAATCAAACATTATTTTCTACTTAAAAGTAAAAATAAAAAGGTTGAGGCTGAAAATATTGAGTGTGAGATAACTGGAAATTGACTTTAACCCTAGTTACAGGGTTAACCTAATTGGTTCACTAAATTTATGTACAAACAGTAAAGTTAACAAAATTATTCCTACCTTATTGTCTCCTCTATCAGACGATCTGAGCTGCAAATAAACAGAAAATTCAAATTCTGGTATTATTATAGACATTTAAAACTTGTACTTAATTTTTTTACATTCAAAGATACAAAATTTTTTGACTTTTCAGTCATTTGTTGTTGTTGTTGTTATATGCTGTCGAGTTGGACCTGACTCATAGCGACCCCTCCTTGGGTTTCCAAGGTGGTTATCACTATGGTAGGTTGCTCAATCTTCCCTCCGAGGAGTGGCTGGTGGGTTTGAACCACCAGCCTTCTGGTTAGCAGTTAAGTGCCTTAGGCAGAAAACCCAGACTTTCAAAGACATCTAAGGAAAATTCAGAACTCATAAATAAACTGAATTTATTCATATACAATTTTTCTTATTTTTAATTCTCACTTCAATTTTTTCTCCACAGAAGTACTTGATGATTAAAGTCAGAACAGTTTAATGACAGCATGAAGAAATGAAACCTCTAATTTAGATAACTCAGAGTTGTCATGGTGATCTATTCAAAACCTAAGAATTTTAAGTAACTTGTTGAGACAGGACAGCTAATATAGTTCTGATATCTGAAAGAAGTAATTATTTATACTTCAAAGTTTCCTCCCACAGTTTTTTTTTTATAACGCTAAACCAAATATCTGTTTACCAGACATAAGAATTAAACAATCTGAAAGATGACACTAAATGCACCTTTGATCTGTACAGTTTGCAAAGATGCATTTAGTGTTGTCTTCCAGAACTGTATTACATTTACAGATACAAAATGTTTTGCCTTTTCAGCCATTTATGTACACAGAAAACCCAGACTTTCAAAGATATATAGGGAAAATTCAGAACTCTTATATAAATTTAATTTATTCATATATAATTTTTCTTTTTAATTGTTACTTTTTTTCCCCACATAGGTTTTTCTTGGCTGTAATCTTTATGGGAACAGATTGTGAGGTCTTTTTATTCCATGGAGGCCTGGGTAGGTTTAAACAGTCAACTATTCAGTTAGCAACCGAGTGTTTAACGACTGTGCCACCAGAGCTCCTTTGATCAACTATACCTGTTCAACTTCCTTTTTCAACACAGTAGTTTGGTAGATGTCCTCACAGAGTGTCTTAGTACATCAAAGGCACAGAACTAAGATATTTAAATCCATGTAGTATAATATGCAAATAAATTACTCTATTGCCAAGCTCAACAACCTACTTTTATGATTATTGTTGTTAATGTTTTCAGGTGACTCACAGTGACCCAATGCAAAGCAGAATGAAACAGTGCCCAGTCTCACGCCAGCTCCAAGATCCTTGTTATACTTGAAACCATCGCCATAGCCACTGTGTCATTCCATCTCGTTGAAGGCCTTCCCCTCTTTCATCAACCTTCCACCTTAACAAACATGACATCCTTCTCCAGGGAATGGTTTTTTCTGACAACATGACCAAAGCAGGTGAGACGAAGTCTGGCCATTCTCACTTCCATCCAAGGAGCATTCTGGCTGGATTGCTTCCAGGACAGATTTGTTAGTTCTTTTAGCAGTCCATGGTACTTTCAGTATTCTTCGCCAGCACCGCAACTCAAAAGCATCAACTCTTCTTCAGTCTTCCTTATTCACTGTTTAGCTCTCACATGCCTATGAGATGACTGAAAACACCACGGCTTGTGTCAGTCACACCTTCGTCCTCAAGGAGAAATCCTTGCTCTTTAGCACTTGAAAGAGGTTGTTTGCAGCCGATTTGCCCAGTGCAATATGTCATCTGCTGTCCTGACTGCTGCTTCCATTTGTCATTGATTATAGAACCAAGCAATGGGAAGTCTTTTACAACTTCAATCTTTTCTCCATTTATCATGATGCTGCTTATAGGTCCAGTTGTGCAGATTTTTTTTGTTGTTGTTGTTTATATTGAGATGATTAATACTGCAGACTGTAGTCTTCAATCTTCATCAGTAAGTGCTTCAAGTCATCCTCACTTTCAGCAAGAAAAGTTGTGTCATCAGCGTATCACAGGTTGTTAATGATTCTTCTAATCTTGATGCCACGTTCTTCATATAGTCCAGCTTCTTGGATTATTTGCTCAGCACACAGTTTGAGTAAGCATGGTGAAAGGATACAACCCTGACACACCCCACTTCTTGATTTTAAGCCATGCAGTGTCCCCTTGTTCTGCTTGAATGACAGCCTCCTGGTCTATGTACAGGTTCCTCATGAGTACAGTTAAGTGTTCTGTAATTCCCCTTCTTCTCAATGTTACCCATAATTTGTTATGATCCACACAATCAAATGCTTTTGCATAGTCAATAACAGACAAGCAAACATCTTTCTGATATTCTTTGCTTTGAGCCAAGATCCATCTGACATCAGCTATGGTATCTCTCGTTCCACGTCCTCTTCTGAATAGCTTGCATTTCTGGAAGTTCTCTGCCAATATACTGCTACAACTGTTTTTGAATTATCTTCAGTAAGATTTCACTTGCATGAGATATTAATGATACTATTCGCTAATTTCCACCTTCTGTGGGATCACCTTTCTTTGGAATGGGTACACGTATGGATCTCTTCCAGTCAGTTGGCCAGGTAGCTGTCTTCCAAATTTCTTGGGATAACCGAATGAGTGCCTCCAGCAGGGCATCTGTTGAAACATCTCAATGGGTTATTTCATCAATTCCTGGAGCCCCATTCTTTGCCAATTCCTTCAGTGCAGCTTCGACTTCTTCCTTCAATACCATTGGTTCTTGATCATATGCCACCTCCTGAAATGGATGAACATCAACCAATTCTTTTTGGTA